AAGATGTGGATGTTAGGGCGCCTGGGTGGCTCAGATGGTTAAGCATCTGCCTTCGGCTCAGGTCATGATCCCAGGGTCCTGGGATCGAGTCCCGCATCAGGCTCCCTGCTAGGCGGGGAGCCTGCTTCTCCCTCTGCCTCTGCCTCTCTCTCTCTGTGTCTCTCTGATGCTCATGAATAAATAAATAAAACATTAAAAAAAAAAAAAGATGTGGATGTTAGTATGTGCTCCCGTTAGCCAGAAACACTGCAGCTTATTCCCCGATGTGCGGCATAAATCTGATTTCTGCTCTTCTGTTTGAGATCTTTGGCTATGTTGTTAGGAGTTGGCTAATTTTTTTTCCCCCCCAAATAGAATGGATTTCTTTTTTCTGGTTTGAATGATCATGTATGGTGGTTGTAGAAAATGTGGAAAATACAAAAAACAAAAAAACCCAAAAACCAGAAAGGAAAGAAATCCACTCAAATATCCCCACCCACCACAGATTGACTACTATTATCATTTGAGTTGCTTTTATTTTTTCTTCTAGTTGTTTACAATGCATTTTAAAAACGTGGTTGTACTGTAAAGCTAGTTATATCACGTTTTATCTTGAATCTTGCCCTTTTCTACATTTTTTTTGCTCAAGCAGCAAGGAAATCTATTATGTCACATAACTTTCCTCTTGCTCCTTTTTGCTTCAGGCAAAATGGCTTCACACATACCAGACGTTCCACCTCAGGGCCTTTGCACTGACCATTCCCATGATCTGGAAGGTTCTTCCTCCAGGTGACTGCATGGCTCACTCCCTCACCTCCTCCAAGTCTTTGCTCACATGTCACCTACTCAGTGAAACCTCCGCTGACCTCCCCATTAAGTGTGCACCTGTGCTAGCCAGAATGCCTTCTGACCTAGTCCCGTCCTTTTCCATGGCACCCAGTGCTGATGGCGCTAATCATACCACCTGTGTTTATTATCACTCATTATTCTAACTCATGAGCTCACATAAGCATTGACTAAACGTACCTTTGGTCAACACTTTGAAATATCTTACATATAGCTTATTTTTTTAATGGACTGGACTTTAATCATCACCCTACTGCTGGACATGTAAATGGCATCCAGTGTTTTGCTATTATAAATTACATAAACCTACGGTGAATCTTTTGTGTATAAAGTGTTTTTCCATTTCTTAAGCACTGAAAGAAGATTTTTGGGACATGGGGTTACTGGACAAGGTAAATTGTATTAAGACTCATGGCTGCAAGTGATATGAACTCAACTCAAACTGGCTTGAGCAAATTAAAGGAAATTCTTGGTTGATGTATTTGAAAACAACAGGGGTAGACTGCAGGTAGGGCTGATTCCAGAGGTTCAGTCCATGTTATCAGGGGTCTGATTTGTGTCTCTTATCCTTCATCCATACTTTCCTCTGTTGGCTTCCTTGTGAGGCAGCTTCTCCCCATTTAAGGCAAAATTGTATTTTGTAGCTCCTGTTTTCATGCTACCAACTGTACAGTCCCATCTTAGAAAGACATCCCCTTCCCAGTATTTTTAGCAAAAACTCAGGACAGGTTCTCGCTGGCTCACATTGAATTGTGGCACCCTTTAATCTTTAACTCTGGCTGTAGGACAAGGATATAGGAGAGTGGGGGTGATAATGTCATCCCACCCAAACCACAACCTCTGAGGGCAGGGGAGGTAGCTCTCCCCAGAGGAGACTCAGGGTGCTCTTGTCTAAATGGGGGATGGATGCCGGGAAGGCCCCAAAACTGCAGATCTTCATTTTACTTAGGAACATTTTAGGGACTCTGCGCCCTAGTAGGGAAGGAAAAAAGCACAGAAAATGAAGGCGCCCAGTCCCCTAGCCGAAGCATGCATTTTTGGGTGTGTGAGGCCAGCCTCATCAGATGGCAATCTGCTGCCACTCTCACCATGGAAAGGGAGAGGGCCATGAGGAGGGGAAACCCCTGGCCCCAGCTCCCTGGGGAATGAGGCTCCGATGGCCTGTAATTGCATGCCTCGTGGGCTCTTGGTGGCCACTGGCTGCCAGAGTACGTGTTTAAAATACGAGTGGTAGAGACAGGTTCTAAATGGGAGGAGCAGGAGAGTTCTTGAAAATGTCCCTGGCTGTGCTCTCCGGATGAATTTGGAGGCTTCTGACCATTGGGCACTCCATTCCAGAGGAGCAGTGGCATTTGTCATACAGGCCCCGCACCGCCAGCTGACAGCCGCAGTGGCTTCATTTCCTGCAGCTCTGTGGCCCTGGCCTTGACCCAGAGCAGTCTTGGCAAGAGAGCTCGGCTTCACGGCTGCCCCTCTGCCCGTCTCTGTGCACCTTGCTGGCTGGCAGCATAATTCTGAGGTCGAAAGGGTCCTTATCTGTCATCCAGTGTGGGATGTGCACCTGCCTTAAAGGCACTGCTAGACTTTTGTTGGATCTCTGGTGGCTTTCAGCTCCCCTCAGCCAAGTACGTCTGTGGCTCCGGGAGTACCTGCCTTGTAATCCCTCCCTTGGGTCATCCTGGCCCAGGCCTGTGTTCTCCAAATGGAAACTGCTCGCAGTGAGAAGCTGTCTGAGCCAAGGCCTCGTCAAGGGCCCTTCAGTGTACCCTGGACTCCCCATGCAGTTTTTGGCATTTTCTCCCTTCCCATCTTATCAAGGAGATTGGATAGAGGCAATTTATAAGTAAATGATACATGTTAGTCCTTCCCTTCTGTGAAGGACTCTGGGTTAACCTGGAGCCCTCTTGGTGCCTGGGGGGATAGAACAATACTAATATTCCACTTGTGCTCTAAGCTGTTGATCCACTGGGCAGGCTGGAATCACTCACACAAGCAGAACTTTCTGTATAATTCTGAGAGGGTTTGAAATTATGGACACTGACTCCATTTGAGTCAGGGAAATCCACCACCAATGGCCATCTCCTTTGTTGGATTCCAGAGTCTCTAAGATAAAGTTTCTTGTGTTTCTCCATATCATCAACTGGGTGTACACCTCTCTGAAATCTCTAGTCCACTGTGCAACTGTCTGGTATTACCAAATAACTGAGTCAAGCTATTTTATTTTATTATTTTTTTTTATTTTTTGATTAAAGCTTTTTAAAGAAACGGTTTACGTCTTGGAAAGCAGGTGGCCTTCTGGGTTGGCGGGTGGAACGCTTGCTCCGTTGTGCTCTCCCTTCCATGGTGCCCGGGCCGGACAGGCTGGGGAGACACAGTGCCAGAACTCTGGCGCAGGCTGCTCTTCCTTACCTGCTGTATGTAGTGAGGGTCTGTGCAGGATGTTAGTAGGAGTTACAAAGTTTCCACTGCTGATAAAGAAGGAACCCACAAAAGGCACACAGCTAAGATACTGTAAAAACAGGCTGTAATGTAAAACAAAAACAACAACAAAACAAAACAAACCCAATATTTGTTTCTATAAAATTTTATGAAGCTTATGTAACAAGTTACTGAGTCCTGAGTGCAAAGTCAGGCCCAGCATCCTCTAGTTTATCTTGGTGCTCAGGGCAACCCCTCAGAGGACCTCCTGCCTTTTTTTGCCCATGGCTGCGTGGCCTGTGAGTTGAGTTCTTTGGGAAGATCCAGGGCCCCTTTGCACCACCACCGCTGTGGTGCCCATGAAAGCTCCAGCCCGTCACCGCATACAGCTGGCTCTGCCCTTCTCCCTCCCCGTGCCCATAAGAGCGACAGCAGGGATAACTGGGACAGCTTTTTGTAAGAACCAGAGATGGTCAGGAGTTTAATGAGTTGCATTTGCCTTACACAGCCTGCGGTCTGGAATGTGGCTGGCTCCCAGGAAACGTTAAGAAGCTAGTGGCTCCCTTGCCCGAGAGTTGTGTTTACCCCGTGCTTGTCTCTCTGCTCCTCAGTGTGTACAGCAGGCGATGGCCAGCTCCACTTCCGTGTTCACAGGTGTCACTTCTCACAACATTAATTGACCAACTAGACTCTTGGTCTCAATTCCTTTTTCACAGAAAATGAAATATGCTTGGTTCACATTGAGTCACATGACCCCATTACGGCTCGGGGCAGGGGTACAAAGCACAACATGGCTGTCCAGGGCCCATTCGTGGATGTTAATGGATAGGACAGAGAATGGGTTCCAGAGAAGGGACATGGGGTGAGCCGAGTGGGGGGTCCAAATGGGTATTGCTCTCTATGCCCCACACCCACACCTCACTTACTCCATGAGTCAGTTGTTGGTCATACCTGTGCCTGGGACAATCCGCTTCAAAGCTTTGCTGACCAATTGGGTAGGGTTTCATTCTTTGTTGGAGGGTGGACACATGCTTGATAATATGGCTTTTGTTTGGAGATCTGCCTTTATTAAGTCAAGCCGAGAACAGTCTTTGAAGCTGGACATTGCTTTGGCACAGAACAGATCACAGAATTAGGCAAATGCACTGCTCAGTTAACCCCCCCCCCCCCAAAGGTAGATAGATTTTTGAATATGGAGAAACATTTTAATTATAACTGTTCAATCTATATTTGTAGACATCTCTTGGTTAAGATCATTTGCTGTTGTTTTTTCTAAAGAGTTTCCTCGAGGCCTACACTGGATTTTCAGCTCTGATGGGCAAGAGATTTCTCTCAACTGTGTTAGCAATGGCGTGTGCGTGTAGATACCACCACTAATTACCTTATGATGGGAACAGCGTGGATGGTTGCACTTTTGCTCTGATAGTTTCATGTGATTCCCAGCTCTCTGTTCCCCATTGCTAAATTCTTAAAGTCTTAGCAGCCGTGTGATTGACAAGTGCTTGGGCATTTTCATTCTGAAGCCGGCCCTGTGGTGCTTGAGGACGTTGCCGGTGGAGTCTGCAACCTTTTCACTTCACTCTTTACCTGTTTTAGTTCGTAGGTGTTACAAGTACAGTTAATTTTTAACTTAATTCTCTGGGAACTTTTCCAGGGATGTTTAAAAGGCCCTGTCGACTATACTAATATACTCAGAAATGAGAGAAAATATCCATGAGGTCTTAAAATATTCTGAATAATATTTTCTTTCTTTTTAGCTGTCTCCGTTATGAGGTACAGCGCCTCTGCTTTTGGGTTTGCAGTAAGTAATCTGAAATGCACTTTTATGAAGTTTTGCACGTTTTTCCTGAGCTCACGAATCTTGCCCTGGGCTCGCCGTTCAGAGGGTGGTTAGCAGATGAGAGCTTAGCATGACAAACAAAGCTTTTATGGCAATAGCTTCCATAACAGAATTACAATTTCATGGAAGTAAACAGCGATGATGCCGTACAGGTCTCCAGAACAGATTAGGGGGACCTCATTTTCCACCCCTGGTTGAGAAGATATTTGAGGGGTTTCAGCCTGGTTTTCTCCCTGAAGGTTGTAGGTGTGAAAGTGGGCACACACTGGAGTGAAGACGCATTTGCTGGTGCAGGCAGAGGTGTTGGGGGTTAGGATTGGGGCTGCCGGAACTAGACCGGTCAGTCTCCGGTCCCATTAGGGGTAACCTGACTCCCAGACCTACTTCCTGATGGGAATTGGTCTGAGAAAACAGGTCTCAGATGTTTTACAGCCTAGGCATGTTGAAAGCTTGGGTGAAGTCTCCCCACATTCCTTCAAGAGAGTGCTAGTGCTTGTAGTTTTCTAGATCGAAAATGCGATGGGTGCAGTGACTCATCTGGAGAGGTCCAGCATCCTCCTCTGTAGCTTCAGGGTTTCCTGTACCTGAGGGCGTGTGTTCCTGTTCCCAACCCCCCTTCTTCCCTTTGCTGTGAGAACTTAATGTTTTGCAGGTTGTAGATTGTTTTCAGAATCCTTTGAAAAAGGTATGGACAGTCTCTCCAGAAAAATGGGTGCGTGCACACGTGCATGCACACCCCCCCCCCCCACCCCCCCGCCACACACACCTCTCTTTTCTCCCCTTTCTTCTGTCTCTGTCCCTCACACATTCGCTCATTCATTCAAACAAGAGCATTGAGTTTTGTATACAATTTTGAAGTGTTAGCAGAGTTCCTAGAGCCCTTGGGTGGCCCACTCTAACCCCTGAACCTCAGGTAGAACCATCCCACTGGGAGGCAGACACATAGAATCCTTATCCTGAGTCTTTTACCTGGGATGTAGGGGGAAATGCTGCAGTGATTTTGCCTGCTGGGAGATAGGTGTGAGAACAGTGTAAGTCCCCCCATATCTCCAGAGTGCTAGGAGCCAGGGCCCAGGGAGCAGAGGCCACTGCACCACAGAGTGTGCTTTGTCAGGCTGTGGGAGCAGCGCGAGGTGAGGAGGAGCTGTGGTCCTTCCACCGGGCTGGCATGTCCAGTGGCCTCGGCTCCAGATTCCCAGCACCCACCATGAGGATGAGGAGGAGCGTCTGAAGTCACTGGCTCTGATTCCAAGCCTCTGTGTCGTGTGTCTTCACAGTCATGCCTTAACTCTGGAAAACACTAATGCCGTGTCTCCTTCTCCTAGTTTGACGCCATCCTCGACGTCCTGTCCTCGGCGATTGTCCTTTGGCGTTACAGCAATGCTGCTGCTGTACACTCTGCCCACCGGGAGTACATGTAAGTGGATCTTTCTCTTCCTCCAGGCTGCGGCACCCTTGCAAAGGAAGGCCACATCACTAGGCTGTCAGCGTAGCTCTCCTTGCAGCTTTGGTCCCAGGGACGAGAATGAGGACCCAGATCACCTTCGAGAGGGCCTGCGGTGATACCGGCCATAGGACAGGCCCCTTTGGGGATGGTCGGAGAGATGGGGTACCCTTTTATAATTTGCCCTGTTCTCTGCTTTGAGTCGGGAGGGAATGTTTGTGTGTTCATTTGTCTGGCTCTCCTTCTGTCCATCTGTCCATTGATCTGTCCGTGTTTCAGTTCATCCATCCTTCCATCCTCGTTCTTTTTGTGTTTGTGGAATCTTTGTTCTCTTGAGTTCTCATGCTTTAAGATGAGTTTTCCACTGTAATTTCTGGAAGACACCTTGAGGGTATTCTAAATTACCCTGCTTGTCTTCCATTCCTCTCTGTATTAGAGGACACGGCTTGTCCCAGTCTCTACGTCCTCTGGGTGATGATCTTGTCTTTGAGGAACTTGAGTTTGTGACCATAAAACATGGCTTTCCCAACTTCCATCTTCTTTATTCCATTTGTAATCTCCAGGCTGATAATAGCTCAGGTCCCAGAGTCCGATTTCTTGGCTTTGAATCTTAGCTCTACCACTTGCTAGCTCTGTGACTGTAGGAAGCTGCTAAGTGCTCTATGCCGTGTTTCCTCATCTGGAAAAGCAGGAAAACAACACCTCCTTCAGAGGGTTATTATATATATTATATATGCACAATATGTAATATAGTATATATGTTATGTATATTAGAACAATATATACACCTATAACTTAGAGCAGTGTTTGGCATGTAGTTCAGGAAACCTTAGCTGCCATCATTATTAATTATTAAGGGGGCTCCCCTGAGACTGAGCCACCACTAGTCCTTAAGGGAAGAGTTTGATCCCACCTCTGTGGCTTTTGGACAGTTGAATACAAATGAGTAAATGCTCCCCTGCTGTGTTTCTGGCGGTGCCCAGACAGAACGTAGTCTCGATGGGAATGCTATGTCATACTTAAAATGTGTAAGTGTTGAAATACAAATGTTAGGTGCTAGGGGACTCAGATAATAATAGATCTGGGGTTGCACGTGCCAAATGGAAAGCTTTTGAAAGATAATGCTGTAACTGATTCACGAATGGGAACAAATTTTATTTCACTGTTGGGCTTTAGGTAGAGCACAGAAACTTCTTTGAAGTGTTAGGTATTTATTTTAATGTGCATTAGCTCTTTTAACACATATGAAGGGTCGAATCTGTGATATCACAGATGATATTGTTTAGGATAAGGTTAATTGTTTTAAAAGTGAGTCAATTGATGGTTGAAAAAAGTTAAGAAAACAATTATAGTAAGTTGATTTTGTAAAATTTCAAATGATGGTATCATAATGATTGAAGTTGAATTAATACTAGTCTAGCCAAGGGAATAGCTAATACAAAAACCCAAGTTGTTGCTGGCTAATTATTTGAGGAATACAGTGAGAACAACCTAGAGATAGGTTGTCCTTTTCCTGTCAGGAGAACATAAATTCTTTGGTTCTGTAGTTGCACTCTCCAGTACGGTAGCCACTGGTGGCTATTTTAGCACTTACGTGTAGCTGGTCCAAACTAAGAGGTGTTGTGAGTGTAAAATAGTACATTCCATAGACTTAGTAAAAAAAAAAAAAGACTAGAGATTTTATTAATAATTTTAAAGATACTGATTACACGTTGACAAAAGAATATTTTGGATATGGGGTGCCTGGCTGGCTTAGTTGGTATAGCATGCGACTCTTTGTCCCAGACTCATGAGTCCAAGCCCCATGTTGGGTGTAGAGATTACTTAAAAATAAAACCTTAAAAAAATATTTTGGATATATTGGATTAACCTATTATGATTAATTTTACTTCTGTTTCCTTTTTCTAATGTGGCTTTTAGATATTTAAAATTACATATGTGGCTTATATTATAATTTTTTTGGGCCTTGCCCTCAAAAGACAAAGCTCTTCCTTCTGACTTTTCGTATTTTCGAATTACTAATCCAGAATTTGATTTGCAATTCCAGAAGGAATTGAGTTCCATGTTTCTCAGTTTCTCTCTTCTAATGTGCTTAGTAAAATCCGATTTCCTTTATGCTTAAATGAGTTTCTTACATATTAGTCACAAATCTACAAATTATTGTGGCTTTTCTATAGAGTTGGGATCTCTCTGAGCATTTGTCAGGTGGCCTGGAGTTTTTCCAAGATTAAAATATTGATGACAAAAGATTGATGATCCAGCATTTCACGGATGGTTCTTGTATTGGTATGGATGTGGGCTGGGAATGGGTGGCTGAGGTAGGGTGTGAACCAAATGTCTTTGGTTTCACTATTTTTACTGATCCCCAAACAGGTACCATTAAAAAAAATGTATCTCTCTATTGATACCCAAAGGACAAAAACTCACAGAGGAGTTGCTTTGATAATTCCCAGATGATAGTTTACATGAAGATGCCAGTGAATTCATTTGGAGAGTCTGAATGTAGGGATTCAAACGACACTCCACAGTCCTTTGTATTGTTGGCTTTAGTTTAAAGTTTTAATCTCTGTCTCATCCCATGTAAATTAAAAATTCATGGGATCATTGCCAGCTGAGAAACTGATGTTTGCATATTAATGAGCGTGAATGAATTATGAGAGGCATGGCTAGAAAAACTATTGGCTTTCAGTTAGTTGCTGGAGAATAATAAATGGGGAAATACCCAACTGGTCCTTAGTTAATTCCTCTAATTTGTCCTACTTTGACTCTAAGCTTCAGAAAGAATCTTGAGCTCGGAATTGCCAGCGCGAGGAGGAGAGGGAGCTTCGTCAGCCCTGCCCCCTGATGCTGTGTGTGCTGGCTGCGTGGGATAGGGCGTTTGATGCCCAGAGGAAGAGAGGATGCTTTTAACACCGCCACAGAGTACTGCATTATACACCTCAGTTGTTAAGATAGCCAACTACAGGGTGTAGCCTCAGTGGTTTTGTTTTGCATTTTTTTTTTTTCTGTGGTAAAAAATATATAACATTGAATTTACCATCTTAAACGTTTTAAGTATATGGCTCAGTAGTATTAAATCTATTCATATATGGTTGTGAACAGAGTCCCCAGAGTTTCTTCATGCAAAACTGAAGCTTTATACTTATTAAACAGCTACCCGTGTCCCTCTCCCCCAGCCCTTTGCAACCACAGTTCTATTTCGTTTCTCTGAATTGATTACTCTAGGTACCTCAAATAAGTAGAATCAGAGAGTATATGTTCTTCCGTGACTGACCGCTTTCACTTAGCACATGATGGCCACGGTAAGGTTAACAAACGGTCCTCAGGGGTGAGAAATCTTGCTCGCTTAGGGAGCCGGTCATGGGTGTGCGGCACTAATCTGAGAGTGAAATGCTAAATCCAGCATTTCATGGGTCGTTCTTTTATTGGTATGGCTGTAGGCTGGGCGTGGGTGGCTGAGGTAGGGTGCGAACCAAAGGTCAGGGACGTGTGTCATGCCAGGTAGTGGCTGGGTGCCCCATCTGGGATGGAAGGAATACTTGCAGAATTCAAGGAGATGAACGCAGTGAAGCAGGTTCTGCTGTCCTCAGTCACTAAAGGAGAGGGGCCAGGAGGTGGGGGCTGATGCAAAGAGTTAGAGCAGGTGGTTCACTCTGACGGTGCCTGTGAGTGTTGAGGGGAAAAGCTGGAGGACTGGTCTGGAATTCAGCACGAGGAAGGGAGGCTTTGTGAATGTGCTTGAGAGAGAACACGTAGGGAAGGCAGCTTTCCCGGGGAGCAGCCAGGTGTTTATTAGGCCAAGAGGTGAGGGCAAGAGTTGGAAAAAGCCTGAGGATGTGGTCACTGGGATAGGATGAGAGTGTTCTGGGGAGGGAAGGGAGCAAGGAGACAATGAGGAGCGTGGCTAGAAGGGTGGGGTGGTGACAATTGTCCTGGTGACTGCAGGTTGCCCTGAGGCCACTGCAAAAAGGAAGCACTATTTGTACACTTACACTGTGATCGCCAAGCGTCCTTAGGTGAAGAAGCATGCAGCAAAATAGTGTTACGGTCTTTTCTCATTGGTTTTAACAAGAGAGGTTTGCATCCACGCACACTGCTGAGGCATATAAAAACTCTCGCAAGGATACAGAGCGACTGACAGCAGGCTCGCCTCAGGAAGGGGGGACGGGGGACAGAAGAAAGGGAGGAGGTCTGCTCTTCCTATCCTGCAGACCCGAGCAGCCCCGTAGAACTCTCTGCAGCCATGGACGCGTTCTGTAGCTGCACCGTCCAGTGTCCTCAGACCCTTACCCACGTGGGGCCATGGAACATTGGCTCTGTGGCTCGGTTCCTAGCTTGATTTAATTTAAATGAATTGAGCTGTAAATCGTCACATGTGGCTCCCATATTGGACAGTGACTCTTTAGGTACTTTGATCATTTTTAATCCATTTTTTAAAAACAATGTTGTTACTCAAAGTCCACGGGACTTGGAAATGAGAGCAAGATACTGAGGGAAGGAAGGAGGTGCCGGAGGTGGCAGGCATGGGAGAAATGAGTATAGGAGGAACTTGGCAAGGCCAGGTGACACGGGGCATTTCACGCTTGTGTCTGCTATTGTCAGCCTTCTCTACCATTTTCGGCCCCGGGAAGTACAGCTTCCCGCTGCCATCAGCTGTGGAGGGCCATCGGGCTGCTTGCCACGGGGAGGTACAGCTTGACACTCACTGGGGGCCTCTGACATTTTGCATGATTGCAGCACAGGTGGGAGGACTGTGAATGCTCCCCAGTCCCAGCTGTCTCCTTGGGCCATCCGTGAGCTCGCTGAGATGGAGAGGTGGAGGCAGATGGGAGGCTGTTCACCTTTACAGGCTTGAAGTTCTGCAACACTGAGGCAAAAACACAGCCTGGGAGGTTGTTCACTTGTTCCAAATGTACCTCCAAATGGTATGATGCTCAGCAGCATATTGGAAAGCAAATTTGAGAGCTCCGGAG